GAGGCTCTTGAGAGTCCCCTGGACTGCAAGGAGGACAAACCTATCAATTCTAAAGGAAATCAACCCTGAGTGCTCACTGGAAGGACAGATCCTGAAGCTGAGGCTCCAGTACTTTGGCCATCTCATGAGAAGAGAAGACTCCTTGGAAAAGACCCTGATGTTAGTAAAGTGTGACGGCAAGAGGAAAAGGGGACAACAGAGGATGAGATGGCTGGACAGTGTCTGCGAAGCACCCAACATGAAATTGACACAACTACAGGAGGCAGTGAGAATAGGAGGGCCTGGCGTGCTCCAGTTCATGGGGTCACAAAGAGTTGGACATGACTAAATGACTAAACGATGCGACTAAACGACGATGACGATCTCTGAAGCCCTTAGAAGCGAGTGGAAGCGTATTTGCCTTTACAACTTTGGGTGAAAGCCATACATCCTCACGGCCTCATTGCTAACGAAATACTCATAATCAAGCAGCGACTCCACAGTGCAAGAACATCAGGCACGGTAAGCAAATGGTGATTTCTGCTTCGCCTTCCCCTAACTTTTTAAAAGTATTGCTGAAAGTCTAAAGCAGACTAAGACTAAGACAGATTTGCTTTATTTCTGGACAAATGGGGATGAATGGGGCCTAAGGCAGACACTTGACTGTGGAATCTTTAAGTACTCCAAAGTAATTGAGGACCCACCTGTTTTGTGTTCGTATCTGCACACCTAGCTCTGGGTTTAAGACTTAAACTTTAAGTCAAACAGCGACAGGATAATCAAACTAAAAAACCTGTGCCTGAGAGCAAACCCATTCTCCAACTTTTAAACCTGCTCCAGCAAGCTGCTAGAACACTGAAGGAGCCAGACCTTCTGACTGGACTATCTCACCAGAGGACACACGATATTAGTACGATATTAGCACATTGTACAATATATGCTTGCCATTATATATATTTGATTTTTTCTGTTCCTAGAACTGCTAGTATTGTTAAGTCGAACTAATTTTGGAGACCTTCTTTTATTACTGGTAGGGTATATTTATATGCTTACTACTAGTAATATATATTTTTACTATATGTATATATCTCATGGTCTAGTACAGGAATAAACTGCTCTTGTTGGATAATGATTTTTACTAGACAGGGTTATAAAGAACATGGTATTTCTCCAATACATGGAAACTTATTAGCAGAGAGGAAAGGAAGAGAAAAGAAAATTACAAATTTCTTTTCTCCCAAAGAGGAGGGCACTAAAAATACCAATGAAATTACAACGATATCATCACCAGCCCCCAATCTAGACTGGTCAGTTGAGTATCGATGTTCAACAATAGAAACAAATAAGGAAGATTATGCTCCTGACCTGGCGACAGAGTTAGCAATTGCAGAAAACATTTTGGACTCCAGCAGGGTGGAAAAGAAGGGAGAAAAGGAGGTAAATGATCTTGATCTTATGATAAAACAAATAGATGAATTGGTACAAGGATGCATCCAAACAGAAAAAGAGCCCTTTCCAAAGCCAGTTAAGGCAAGAGGAGAGCCTGACACTAATACATTATTCCTGTGAGTAAAAGACATTTTAGAGGAGATGAAGTTAATTAAGCTTTTCCTCTATGAATCTTATGAGCTATTTAACTACTCTAATCAAACTGAGTTTAAAAAGGTACCTAACAACAACAACAAACAAACTGACCAAGATATTGCATTGTTACAGTACGGTTCTGCCAAAGAGGGTAAAAATTCCAAACAGGAAACCAAGAATAGGGCACAAGAAGGATCTCTGTATGGACGTACAAGTAAGTAAGTAAGTAAGTAAGTAAGTAAGTAAGTAAGTAAGTAAGTAAGTAAGTAAGTAAATAAATAAATAAATAAATAAATAAATAAATAAATAAATAAATAAATAAAATTAGCAAAAAATAAGACCATATCATCATTAATTAAAAAGCCCAAGAATATTAAGAATGCAAATAAATCAAGAAAACCATCCCAAAAAATGAACTATCATAACCTATTTAAACATCTTGAGATGAACTCAAATAAAGAGGAAAAATCTTCCAGATCTAAAAGAAACTCTGAAGAGTTAGGTACACATCAATCAGCAATCACCTCTACCATACAGGGTATTAGTGAGGATGGTATAGATGAAGTGGGAAATGACCCCTGGATTGATGTGCTAAAGAGCAATATAGAGAAGAACACATAATCAATAATCTAGCTGACAAAGCCTGAGAACAATGCAACATGGAAGCTGAGACTAATGACTCACACTTTAGCTTTCTGTGGATACACAAAACCAAAAGGGATACTTACACAAAATCAGCGCAAATGGAATCTGGTAAATATCTTAGAACCCATAATCCATGAATTAATCTTCACATCCCAAATTCTAAATGTGGAATATTTGTTCCACAATTATATCCATGCACGGGCAATTGTAAAATTTAAGGATAGTATAATAACCAATAGGATTTATGGCAGAAGGAACTAGCCGAGAGAGGTATAATATTAGGTACTTCCAAAATTTAGCACATCCACTACCACTGCTAAGTGAGTATGCAAGGGAGACAGAAAGGGATAATCCAGGCTATGTCCAGGAGAAGCACACTGAGGAAGATCTTATTCAAATTTTATAAGACCATTCAAATGATAGGCAAAATGATTATGTATTCCACATTAAAAATGTGGGACAAAAAAGATCATTTCAGGTCTTGCTTGGCAAGAAGAGGAGAGGGAGACTCATCTTATCACCTCCTTTAGCAGACTAGTATACTGACTGGAATGTCTGGTTGCAACTTTGAGGAATTTGGGACAGCCCCCAAATACCAACGAAGATCCAGCAAACCATCAATTGCCCGTATTTGGCTCCCCAGTAGTGACACAGACTAAACATAGAGTTAAACCCCCTCTGGAGCCCATGATAACAATAAACAAAAGGACATGCAATTTTAACTTGATAGTGCCTGTGAACCATCCCGAGCTGTGCTTGATAGCCAACGCACCCCTTGATGAAGCCCAGGGAAACTTTCCTGATATTACTAAGATAAATTGACAAACCCTACAGCATAATGATATCATAGCTAGAATCTGCTCCACACAACCTGATAGCTGTCCATGGGATAAAGGGGAGATCTTGAATGCAACACATGATCAACTCAAAGTTATCTCATGGAACACAGCAGGGTGGACCTCAAAGCAAAATGATCCCAACTTTCTGGAACATCTGAGGGCTCATGATATATACATGGTTCACCAAACAAATCAAGCTAAATGGATATGCTGTATATGATATGCGTGCTGAGACCACCAAAAGGAAAGGTAGACCTAAAGCAGGTTTAGCAGGTTTAGCAATATTGATATCTACTGCTCTCCAGGCATCTGTCAACTGGCTCCCCACTTGTGGGAAAATAGCAATGGCCAGGCATTTAGTTTTTGGGCCTAAGACCCTTTTTTGATCAATGTTTATATCCCACCGTTCTCATCTCAGAAAAGCACAAAACAAGTTTGGGAAGACCTGGAAAATTATATAATAGGACTAGAATGGAAACTCCCTAGATCCCAGTTACTCATAATGGGGGACTTCAATGCAAGATTAGGCTCAAATAATAGCACACTCTTTTCTTCTAGTTTATGGAGGGCAGTTGACAATGAGATCTTTGCCCCTAGCTATGACAGAATGTCCAAAGATACTAAGGTGAATTATGGTGGCATCTGTATGATCCAAATGGTGACTCACCTTGGTCTTATAATACTAAACGGGAACCCCCGCTATGACAAACACCCTGAATTCACCTATGTATCAGCAGTGCTGTGGATTTTGTGCTAATCTCCCACTTTTTATCTAGAGAGATACTGGAATTTTATGTAGGTCTAAGGCTGGATAGTGATCACTTGCCCCTTAATACTTTCACAATGTGTCCATCTGAGTGCAAAACCTCATCTCCAAGATAAATTTCTAAGCTTCAAACAAAAGAGAATACACTGGACTGAGGAAACCCACAATAAGCTAGAAGGTTTCTTTGACTCCGCTGAGGGGGAGTCCCTAAAATATTCAATCATAGGAACCACAAATGCCACTACTGCCATAAATAATCAATCCTAATCAATGCATTGAATACGACCCTAACCTCCAAACAACTGCTTCCACAAGCCTCACTAAAGATAAGCAGCCCCAAGTGGTTGGATAGGGGATGTTCGGTAGTTAAAAAACAACTGAGAGAGGTATATAACAACTATAGAAAGGAAAATCTAAACGTAGTACCCGCAGAATTAGTTAGGTTACGCATCCTTCAGTCTCGAAAGACTATGGTAACGTGCTCTGTATGAAGGACTTGGAACAGCATCTAGTGTGGCTGAGAAGGCCGATTCAAGAGTAACAATCCCACACTGAAGACAAATTCAGTCTGTCCCCTCTCCAGCTCCCTGATTTTGTTGTTTTTGTGACTGCCTCTTTGCCTTGGCCTGCTGGACAAGGGTCTCTTCAAATTGGGAGAGGCCATGATGCACCGCCTGTCTCCAGGCTGAGCGCTCAGATGTCAGGGTTGCCCATCTGTTGAGGTCCATTCCTAAGGCCTTCAGATCCCGCTTGCAGATGTCCTTGTATTACAGTTGTGGTCTCCCTCTGGGGCGATTTCCCTGAACTAATTCTCCATACAGGAGAACGTCTAGTGAGGATCAAATCGAGATTATGCCAATGCTTGGATCTTTGATGTCTCCAAGAAACTCTGTGTTGAAGCTTCGTGTTGAAGAATGTGTTGCTGAAACAAAGACCATAATAACAGCAAAACTCCAGCAAGCACTGGCCATTTTCGTTCATCTTCCTATGCCAAAATGGCCTAGACAAGTGGGCCAAGAATTGTGATCAGCACCAACTCTAGCGTTAAAGTCTCCAAGAATGAGCAGTGCCTCTCTTTCAGGGACTTTTTTGATAGTAGCTGCCAGATCGTCGTAGAATTTCTCTTTCACTTCTGTTGTGGACGACAGTGTTGGTGCATATGCACTAATGAGGGTGAATGGTCCCATTGATGAGTGGAGCTGCAGAGACAGGATTCTTTCACTCCCCACAGTAGGCTGAATAATGGATCTCAGAAGAGTATTTCTGACTGCAAAGCCAACACAGTATTCCCTGGTCTCATTCAATGGTTCTTGTCTCTTGCAGAGCAACAATGTCCATCTGCAGTCTACTCAGCTCCATGTTGATGACAGCTGTCTTGCGCACATTGTCTATTTCCTACAGGTCATCAGATAAACTGTAGTCAGAAAACCCAGAGGTCATTATCCTTACATTCCAGGTGCCCAGCTTTAGGGCAGAAGTTTTCTTACAATTGTTGCACACTGCAGGGTTATCAATCTGCTTGTTGGCTTTCACCGTAGACCCCATGCACCCCATGAGGTTAATAGACCGTGCCGAGATAGCACCTTACTGGCTGGAGACTTCCCAGCTTAAGGCGGGCAGTAGCTACCTAGTGAGGTGCAATGACCTCTCCCACCGTCAGTAGTCCCTGGCATCATGTTCTATGCCAATCGAGCAAAGACTTATAACCGGTAACTACTACTTCCCATTTTGTATCGACACTGTGTGCGAAGCTGGAGTGTCCTCTCTAGAGCACGAAGCCTGGGTAAAATAATATGGAGGATAGGCTGTTACCCAAGCAGCAAATTCCCCCTCTCCACGTTGCTGAAATAGTCCAGTGGAAAGGCAAGAGCCAATACAACTGGTTCCAACGACGTTGCAGGAGTTGCCAGAACGACACAAACTGCCTTCGGGTCTCCGGCTCCGGATTTTGCCTTGAAGTTAACTCCTGAAGCCTTTTACATCAGTGGATATAGCCACAAGGCAGTGGAGGTTTGAATTCGGAGTTTTCCTTCTCCTAGATGGGTTGCCTTCCAAGGCTGATGAGCCGCACCTACCCAGCAGAATATTATGATATAAAAAAGAAATGTAAACAATTACTAGCACATAAAACGAGACAAGAAATTCAAAAGGGATGGAATGCATTAATAGAATGCACTAAATAAAAAATCTATACTCTTTTGGGCTCTTGTCACTGATGCCCTGAGCTCGTCCTCGAGCATCCCAGCAGACATCTGGGAACAGCATTTCTCTACTCTATTTAGGGACATTAAAGAGAACTCAACACATTTCTCTCCAACTATGAATTTAAATGACACTCCTCCATGGAGTTCGGTCACAGCGACTGTAACAAAAAGACAGGTTACTTACCTGTAACCATGGTTCTTCCAGTGGACCTCTGTGAATTCACACAAGTGGGTTAAACCAGCGCCTGCGCTGGTCCTCTCGGGATCTTCTAGAGCTTCAGGAGAAAAGTAACAAAGCTTAGGTTGCCCCTATAGCACATGCTCCACCCGCCTCAGCTCTCAGTTCCATTTGTCCGCCACAATAGGCTGAGCTTAGTCTAGACTTAGTCAGTGACGGACAGTGGGGAGGCTGGGCGGGATGTGTGAATTCAGAGATCCACTTGAAGAACCATGGTTACAGGTAGGTAACCTGTCTTTCTTCAGCGTGGCTTCTGTGAATGCACACAAGCTGGTGACTAGCAAGCTCACTTACAGGAAGGAGGGCCGTCACTGAAGGATGGATGTCAAAACCACTCTCCCAAACTTGGTCTCTTTCTTAGCCCAGAGGTCCAGTCTATAGTGTGTAATGAATGTAGACACACTGGACCAGGTGGCTGCTCTGCAGATGTCAAGTATATCAACACCACGCAGCAGGGCCACAGATGTAGCAACAGCTCTAGGGAGTGAACCTTGAGACCTTCACGGAGAGGTTTGCTCTGTAATTCATAGTAGAGACCAACCATCTAGATAAGGTGGAAGAGGAGGGAGCAGAACCCTTGTGTTGTCCATAAAAACAGAGGAATAGTCTATGTGCTGTACGGAATTCCTTGGTACGTGTGACATAATATGATAAAGCTCTTTTCGCATCCAGGGAGTGCAGCATGCGCTCGACGTCTGAAGCAGGATTTGGGAACAATGTAGGCAATATCAGAGGTTGACTAATGTGAAAATCAGATACAACTTTGGATAGAAACGAGACATCAGGGTACAACATAAATTTGTCCTTAAAAAACTGTAGGTAAGGAGGATCAGAACGAAGTGCAGCTAACTCACTTGCTCTGCGTGCTGAAGTGATGGCAACCAAAAACAGAGTCTTGAATGACAAGAGACGGATGTCACAGGATGCCATAGGTTCAAACAGTTGCCGAGTGAGTGAGTGAAGAACCACCTGAAGTGACCATTATGGAACAGGATGCTTCACAGGTGGTCTCATGTTGGACAAACCTTTAAGGAAGGCCTTAAGGGTTGGGTGAGAAAACTGTCTTGATGAATCAGAGTCATGAGGCTGAAAAGAAACAATAGCCGAAATGTACACTTTCAGAGATGGACAAGCCAAGGTCAAATAAGTATTGTAGATATTGAAGAAGAGTAGTTAAAGACACAGGAGAAGACTGTAATTGGTAATTTTCAGCAAATCTGAGGAAATTCCTCCATTTGTACTTGTAGAGAAAGGTAGTGGAAGGTTTTCTAGCCTCCTCGATTACTTCATGGATTGATGGGATATCATCCAGGTTGTCAGGTGGAGTGATTCGAGATCTGGATGGAGGACGTTCCCTGCATCTTGAGTGAGTAGATGCGGAAGAAGCAGGAGCTTCACTGTATCTACACTCAGCCATCGTCATTAGAGTGGAAAACCATGGTTGACGAGGCCAACATGGAGCAATGAAGACTGCCTCTGTCTTCATCTGTAGTGCTCTGATCAGTGATCTCTGAATGAGAGGGATGGGTGGAAACAGGTAAAGTAGGTCTGCCTTCCATTGGATCATGAAAGCATCCCCCAGAGAGTCCTTGCCCCATCCTGCACGAGAGGCACAGCTGATGTATTTCTTGTTTGTGAAGGATGCAAACATGTCCACTGTTGGTGTCCCCCATCTGTTGCATAGACTGAGAAAGACCTTGTTGTCTAACTCCCATTCGTGAGTCTGGCCATGAAGACAACTTAGTTTGTCTGCCAATTTGTTGTCTGTGGTGGCCACATGGATGGCAACAGGGAAGATGTGATGTTGGCAACACCATTCCCATAGGTGCACTGCCAGGAACAGTAGAGACATGGACTGAGTCCCTCCTTGTTTGTTGATGTAATACATGGTCATGGTGTTGTCTATGAAGAGCTGTACACCACAACTCTGTATCAGAGGAAGAAATGCCCTGAAGGCCTTTATCACAACCAGCAGTTCCAGATGACTGATGTGGAAGGTGGACTCTTGACTCAACCACAGAGCATGAACCGGATGTTTCCCGCAGTGTGCCCCCCAACCTGTGGGGCTTGCATCTGTTGTGACTTGACATGTCAGTTGCAACGGTCGAAAGGGTCTGCCGAGTGACAGATGAGGCAGAAATGTCCACCATTTTAACTGTTGTGCTAGCTCTGGTGTGACACCTAAGCATTTTTGTGGACTGTCCCGTAAGGGGTCGAAGAGGGCGAGAAGACATGATTGGAGAGCACGCATCTTTAGAAGAGCATGTGTAACTGTAGCCGTTGTTGAGGCCATCAGTCCCAGTAGATGTTGTGCATGCTTTGCTGTGACTTTCGCATGTGGTCGAAACTTGCGAATTGCTCTGTCGATGTTTCTGATGCGCTCTGGTGGCAGGAACATGCAAGCCTTGATGGAATTGAGTCTTGCTCCTATGAAGTCCACCACCTGTGATGGGATTAGGTGGGACTTTTTGTAATTGATCGTTAGGCCTAGAGACTTGAGAGTGTTGAGGATGAATTTGGTGTCCTTGAGTGCTCTTTTCCTTGAAGGGGAGACAATCAGCCAATCGTCTATGCATGGATACACCTGTACCCCGTGAAGACGTAGGTGAGCTGCCAGAGGGGCCATGCATTTGGTAAATGTCCGTTGAGCTGTTGACAGACAGAAGGGTAGGGCGATGCATTGATAAATGGTATTCTGAAAGATCAGCCTGAGGTATTTTCTGTGGTTTGGATGAATGGTGATATGAAAGTAGGCATCCTTTAGATCGACCACGACAGACCAGTCTTTTTCCTTTAACAGGTGGATGATAGATTCCAGAGTGACCATCCAGAAGCAGCGTGGATGGAGGTAAGTGTTTAATTCTCTCAGATCCAGAATGGGTCTTAACCCCCCCCTTCCTTCTTGGGTACCACGAAGTAATGGGAGTAAAACCCTTTTGCTATGTCCTGAATGGGCACTCTCTGAATGGCTTGTTTTTGAAGCAGGGTGAGAATCTCTTCTAGAACAGGATTGAAGGAGGTAAGTTTGACTTGTCCTAGAGCAGGTAATTCTATAAATTCCAGACGGTAACCAAACTGTATAATGTTTAAGACCCAAGATTCTTTTGTGATAGTTAACCAATTGTGAAGAAAGGGTGAAAGACAAGTTGTGTGAGTGATGCTGCCTGGCATGCCGACTAAGTAAAAGGTACTGCTTTGATTTTTTTTTCCCCCATTGGTTTATAGGACTGTCTGCGTTGACTAGCCTGTGGTCTGAAGGTGGATGTAGATGAGGATGCCTGTGATGATCTGGCCTGGCCTTGAGCCTTGAATGGACGGTAAGATTGAGATGTTGACTGATGGTAAGTTTGTTGGGGGTATTTGGTACGCCACTGGAACTTGTTGTACCTGGGCTGCTGCTGAATGGTGTAAGATTTGGCTGTTTTCTTACTTGTATGTAAATTTTCCAGATTGTCATCAGTTTTTTCATTGAAGAGGCCTGATGCGTCAAAAGGTAAGTTCTCAACTCTAAGACTAGAGTTGTCTACATGTCGTCCATAATATTTGAAGACCTAAGCCAGGCATGTCTTCTCAATGTGATACTTGAAGTCAGGGTTTTTGCTGCTGCGTCCGCTACATGTTGGGAAGCAAGCCTCTGATGTTTAGATAGTGTGAGGGCCTCTGCGTGGGTATTGAGGCACATCTGTCTGATTTCTTCGGGAGCGACTTGTAGGGCTGGCAAGACTCAATCCCATAGTTGTCTTTGGTATGCCCCCATGGCAAACAGATAATTCACCACACGTAGGACAAAAGTAATTAGGGAGTACATCTTTCTCTCAAGTACCTCCAATTTTCTGCCCTCTCTATTAGTGGGGGGGTGACATGACCTTTGCCAGGTGACTTGGAAGAACTGGATTCCACCACCAATGAATTTTGAATAGGATGCTTAGCCAGGAAAGTAGTTTCTGGACCATGAATTCTGTGTTCTTTGATTAAATCCATGAGTGTAGGTATATAAACCAAGCTCAGAGGGGGGGACCTTTCCTGGTTAATAGCTCCGAAAATAAAGTCCTCTGCAGGAGCAGGAGGCTGTTCCGTGTCCATGTTCAGGGTCTTTGCCATGCGAGATACCATCTACACATATCAAGAAGAAGCCTCAGAAGGGGAGGAAGAGTGGTTATCTGCTGCATCAGTTTCCAGTGGATCACCTCCAACTGGAGTTTCTCCAGAAGCATGTGATCAGACATCGTCCTCCTGTTCAGAGATGCCTGAAGAAAGTGCTTGGTCTTGTTCAGAAGTTGCTGAACAAGGTATCTTTTTATTACTACATCTCAATGGTTCAGGCTGATGAGACTGTTGACAGGTAGGTAATAAGCCCTTCAATGTCGACTGCTCCTTCCATGGATGAGTGGAGACAATCACTACTTTGTAAGCCTGTTTCAAAGATTTACAGGCTTCAACGTTGAGGTGTTTTCGGTGTCGATGTTTACAAGGAGGAGAGCATGAAGAAGATGAAGAGGAGTATGTATAATGTGTCCTCTTCTTTTTCCTCCTATAGTCACCCGATGTTGAAGAAGAAGCAGACTCAGACTCGTCCCGTCAATGTAGACATCTAGGATTCATGTAATTTGCTTCATATTCGGAGTCAGAGTCCGAATCATCTCGTCGACGTCGACACCGTCTCTTCCTCTCAACCTTGTCATCAGAGTCATCATATGAATGCTTGTGACGGCGTCGCGAATCCTTGGGTAAGACCACTAATTCTTGTCGAGAATGTCGGCGTCAAGTAGAAGTCAGATGCTTTGTTTTAGCTGACTTCTTTCTGGGCGGAGTCAGAATGTAAAGACATTGACGCCGACGAAGGGGTCAATGAAGCCCGCCCAGTAGACTCTCAGCCACTACTACCCTCTGCAGGGGTGGGGGATCAATTAAAATGATCCGCCCCCGGAGACTTATGGATCCTGAAGGATTCCTGAATGCTCTAGGGGAGTTTCCAGCTGATATGGTCGGCGCTCCTGTCGAAGCCCAGGTCGCCTTGTGGTACAAGGAGATGGCCCGGGCGGTTGACACGATCGCACCTAAGCGCCCTCTCCCTGCCCGCAGAGCCTATAAGGCTCCATGGTACACAGAGGAGCTTTTGGCCATGAAACGGTTGGGGAGACGGCTTGAGCGCAGATGGAGGAAATATCGCTGCGACTATGACCAAACACAGCTTAGAGCCCATTATCGGGCCTACTCTGTGGCAATACGGCTGGCGAA